GAGGAGAAGAGAAAAATGAGAAGGGGAGGGGGAAAAAGAAGAAAAAAAAAAAAAATAAAAAGCACAAAAGACAAGGCAAAAGACGGAGAATATAGTCTCAAAAAAAAAAAAAAAAAAAAAAAAAAAGAATATTCAGAAATAATGGATATATATTTCCCAAATTTGAAAACAAACAAATTTACAAATTCAAGAATTCACAAGAACCCCAAACTTATCATAGTCAAACTGCTGAAACCAAAGGCAAAGTCTTGAAAGCAGCAAAAGAAAAACCAGACCTACCCATAGGGGAAAAATTATTATATCACACGGATTTCTCATAGCTAGACAGATAATTTTCTGTATATGTATACTCAAGATTCAGATTTATAACCATTTTCCTTCCCCCTAAAGAAAATATTTTAACATTTCTTGAAGGGTATGTCGCTGCTGATAAATTTCTATATTCCTGTGTTTCTGAGAAAGTATATCTTCTTCACTTTGGGAGGATAATTTCACTGGATATAAAATTCTAGGTTGGTGGGTTTTTCATCTCAATACTTTAAACATTTCACTCCATACTCTTTTTGCTTGCATTATCTCTGACAAGATATCTGCAATTTTTATTCTTGTTCCCTATAGAAAATATTTTTTGGTCCTCTGGTTTGAGATTTTCTCCTTGTATTTAGTTTCCTTCAGTTTGAATATGATACATCCTTGGTTAAGTTTTGGTATTTGTTCTGCTTGCTATTCTCTGAGCATTATGGATCTGCGGTTTGGTGTCCATTATTAACTCTGGAAATTTCTCAGCCATTGTTACTTCAGATATTTATTCTGCTCCATTCTCTTTCCTCTCTGCCTATTCCAGTTATGTTCATGCTACATCTTCTTGAAGTAGTCTACAGTTATTGAATGTTCTGAATTTTTAAAATCCTTTTATATCTAGCAATTAATATTCGAATTGCCTATTGATATCTCTTCTACCTGAGTCTTACCCCAGCCATAATGAATTTACTGATGAGCCTATCTAAAATATTCTTCATTTCTGTTAGATTCTTAGCATTTCATTTTCTTCCCTTTGAAGAATTTATATGTCTGTATTTATATTATCAATCTATTCTTTCATGTTTTCTAATTTTTCCACTATAGCCCTCAATATAGTAATCATAAATATTTTAAGCTCCTGTCTGAAATTCCAATATCTGAGTTTGGTTCTGATATTTGCCTGGTCCTTTGAGACTGCTTTTTCTTGCTTTCTGATGTGCCTTCTAATTTTTCATTAAAAGGCAAATATATGGTATCAAGTTATACATGCTGAAGTAACATAACTTTAGTATAAGAGTTTATGTTCTGGCCAGGCGCAGTGGCTCACGCCTGTAATCCAAGCACTTTGGAGGCCAAGGTGGGCGGATCACCTGAGGTCAGGAGTTCAAGACCAGCCTGACCAACATGGTGAAACTCCATCTTAAAAAAAAAAAAAAAAAGAATTTATGTTCGTCTGGTTAGGAGTTGGGTTCTTTTACGTTTCCTGTAACTATTGGTGCCAGAGGCTTCATATACCTCAGGTGACCCTTGTTTTTGTCACTCCTCTTTTTATACTCCTCCTCAGAGAAAATCTGTTTCTGATAAAGGAAAACTAAGAGGATTTGTCAACAGAGGAAGGCAGAGAAAAAGAAAGGAAATAGAAAATTAAACATTAAGTGAGCAACTTATGACCAATTATAGCAATAATTATAGTAAGGTGTTGGAGCAAGACGGTAGAATACAAGCCCCCACCAATTGTCCCCCTTGCAAGAACACCAATTTAACAACTAACTACACACAACAGAATACCTTCATAAGAACAAAACATCATGTAAGCACTTACAGTACCTGGTTTTAACTTCATATCGCTGAAACAGGAACTGAAAAGGTAGCAGGAACAGTCCTGAAGCACCAGCACCACCCCTCCACCATACCGCGGCAGTGGCAGCAGGGTACAGAAGCCATTCCTGTGTGCTGGCGGCAGAGAGAGTGCGGCAATTGTGAAGCATTGAACTCAGCGCTACCCTATTATAGCAGAAAGCAAAACCAGACCAGACTCAGCTGATGTCCACCTAGGAAGGGGGCAATTAAACCAGCCCTAGCCAGAGGGCAATCAATGATCCCAGCAGTCAGAATTTGAGTTCCTGCAAGCCTAGCCATCATGGGCTAAAGTGCTCTGGGGCCACAGATAAATCTGAAAGGCAGTCTAGGCCACAAGGACTGCAACACCCAGGCAAGTCCTAGTGCTGAACTGGGCCCAAGGCCAGGGAACGGGGGGAGCACATGACCTACTAAGATACCATCCCGGGTGGCTAAGGGAGTGCTGGCATCACTCCGCCCCTCACCCCAGGCTGCACAGCTTGCAGCTCCAAGAAAGATGCCTTCCTTCCACTTGAGGACAGGAGACAGAAGAGGGGGAAGGATTTTACCTTGCATCTTGGAAACCAGCTCAGCCACACAAGATAGGGCACCAGTCAGAGTTGTGAGACCCCCTTTCCAGGTCCTAGCTCCCAGACAACAGTTCTGAACACATCTGGGCCAGAAAGGAAGCCACTGCCTTGAATAGAAGGGCCCAGTCCTGGCAGCATTGATCACCTGCTAACTGAAGAGCCCTTAGGCCCTGAATAACCAGCAGCGATGCTTTAGGTGAGACTCTTGAGACCTGCTGGCTTCAGTTGAGACTCAGCACATTACCAGCTGTGATGGCTGTGGTGCAAGATTCCTCTTGAGAAAAGTGGAGGGAAAAATAAAGGGGACTTTGTCTTGCACCTTAGATACCAGCTCTACCACAGGGAGGTAGAGGACCAGCCAGGCTCTTGGGGTTTTCAATTCCAGGATATGACTCTTGGATGGTATTTCTGGACCTGCCCTTTGCTAGAGGGGAACTCACTGCCCTGAAGGGTGAGTCCCAGGCCAGGAAGCATTTACCACAAACTGACCTAAGAGACCTTGGGCCATAACGGAACATAGGCAGTAGGCTGGCAGTACCTTCCAGTTTCCAGAAGTCAACCAGGTAGACTTCTAGGAGTTTTGACTCTAGTCCCTGGCTCCCCTATGGCAACACTGGACCTGCCCAGGGCCTGGGGTAACTCACCGCCCTGAAGAGAAGGACACGAGCCTGGTTGGCTTTGCCACGTGCTGAGTGCAGTGGCACAATCTTGGCTGGCTGTGACCTCTGCCGCCCAGGTTCAAATAATTCTCCTGCCTCAGCCTTCTGAGTAACTAGAATTACAGGTGTGCACCATTATGCCCAGCTAATTTTTATATTTTTAGTAGAGACAGGGTTTCATCACATTGGCCAGTCTGGTCTCGAACTCCTGACCTCAAGTAATCCACCCGCCTCAGCCTTCCAAAGTGCCGGGATTACAGACATAAGCCCCCATGCCCAGCCTGGTTCCATATTTGTAATCCATCAGTGGAACCCACCACGTCAACAGACTAAACAAGAAAAATCATATAATCATATCAACTGATGCAGAAAAGCACTTGAGAAAATTGAATACCTATGAATGAGAATTTTTAAACTCTCAGAAAAAATAGTAATAGATGGATATTTTCTTAATTTGACAAAGAGCAACTAAAAACAAACATACAACTAACATTCCAAAAAATGGTAAAAAACTGAATGCTTTTCCCTAAGATATGGAACAAAGCAAAGATGTCTCCTCCTACCACTTCTATTCAACATTGTACTGGAAGTTCTATGCAATAGGCAAGAAAAAGAAATGAGAGACATACAGATTGAAAAGGAAGACAAAACCTGTCCAAATTTGCAGAGGACATGATAATCGACATAGAAAATCCCAAAATAGCTACCAAAAAAATCTCCTAGTACAAATTAGTGAGTTTAGCAAAATCACAGATTACAAGATAAACATACAGAAATCAATTATATTTCTATATAAAAGCAACAACCATGTGGAAACTGAAATTAAAAGTACAACCCTGGCTGGGTGCAGTGACTCATGCCTGTAATCCTAGTACTTTGGGAGGCTGAGGCAGGAGGATCACCTCAGTTTAGGAGTTTAAGATCAGCCTGGCCAACGTGGTGAAGCCCTGTCTCTACCAATGACACAAAACTTAGCCGAGCATGATGGTAGGTGCCTGTAATCCCAGATACTCGAGAGGCTGAGGCAGGAGAATGGCTTGAACCCAAGAGGCAGAGGTTGCAGTGAGCTGAGATCACGCCACTGCACTCCAGCCTGGGTGACAGAGTGAGATTCTAAGAAAAAAAGAAAAGAAAAGAAAAAAAAAAAAACCTTACTGCAATTGTTCCAAAAATTGACACACTCAGATGTAAATCTAACAGAACATGTATAGGAATTACATTTTGAAAACTATAAAACACTGAAGAATAAAATTGAAAAAGACCCAAATTAGTGGAGCTATACTATGTTCAAGTTTTGGAGGGCCTATTATAGTTTATAAAATAAATGTAATTATCTCAAATTAATACATGACTTTAATAAAATTTCTATCAAAACCCAAAACACAACACTGGAGCTCCCACATATATAAAGCAAATACTACTAGGCATAAAGTGAGAAATAGACTCCAATAAAAAATAGGAGGAAAATTCAATGTCATATCCTTAGCATTGGACAGATCATCCAAACGGAAAAACCAACAAAGAAATATTGGATTTAAACTTCACTTTGTAACAAAGGTACCTAACAAACATTTATAGAACATTTCATGGTGGCGGTGGTGGGCTGAGCATGCCCGTCCTTGGGCCCCATGGCAGTATATCTTGCCACTAGTGTTAGCGGGTCCAGGCA